CTTGGGCCTTCGCCCTGCCAGACTGCCCCAGCCGCAGGACAGGAGGGGGCTGTGCACGCAGGGCAGACGAAATGCTGGTTCTTGGGGCTGGGACCCCCTCTGCAGTGGGCTGACCTCCTCCAGGACGCATGCCCCGAGCAGCACGTGTCTTGGCAGATATATTTGTATTCTCGTGTCCCCGCAGGCAGGTGTGGGCGCGAGTGAGGCACCTGCGGTCTGTCGGGAAGGTGTCTTCCCACCCTGGGCCAAGGCAGAGTCCCTTTGCTTTAACTGACCGAGCTGCTGGTTCCTCCAGCTCCCTCGTGGCAGGGGATAGAGAAGACACAGCCGGAATCTTCTCAGGCATGGGCTGTAAAACAACACAAATGGCAGGAAGAGAAAGCTTGTCACCTTGAAGGTGGCATTTCCATCCTTGGAGATACTCAGAACCTGACTGGGCATGGCCCTGAGGAATCTCAAGACTGCCTGCTTCCAGCTGTAGTCGGACCAAGGGCCTCCCGAGGATCCTTCCACATACGTTACTCCACGACTTTCTGTCTTTGCCCTTTGTGGCAGGGAGCAAGTGGCTCCTGCCTGCCCTCAGCTGGAAGGTGCCCTGTCCAGAGGGTCTCCAGGGTGCGGACGTCTGAGCTGGAAGTATCCGAGGGAGGAGCAAAGCCTGTAATGACGGGATTCCTGGCAGGCAGTTACCTGCTGAGTGCTTTGTCCTGCCTTGTTTTTATCACCCAAAGAGTGTTTGCTGTTTGAGCAGATTTGACGGTCTTTACATGGTGCTGTAAGTGTCCCCTTGCCTGGTAATTATACTGATTAATCTGGATCATGCTGGAAAGCCACATGTGCTGTGTACCAGAGGGTATGCCACCATGCATCCGCATTATTCAACTATAACAGATGCTGGCAAGAGCTAGGGAGATGAGTCTGAGCTGGGGGTTGTTCTTGCTTTATTAAAGCCTGGGAAGGACAAGGTTTGGCAGTTTTTCTGGCTGGAGAAAAGGTGAATCTCGGGAGAAGATAGCGAGGATTTTTCCGTGTTCTACATGCAGCAGCGGAGGTCCCTTGCCTCTCAGGTCTGGCACCATCACTTGCTGCTGCTTTTGCAGAGTCCCTGGGGGTCAGGTTTTGGGAGCAGAGGTTCTTCTGGCTCTAGGGGATGGGACCACGCAGGTTTGCTGCTGGTGGGTGTTTATGGCAGCACTCATGGTGCCATATTCAAGGAACTGGTGTGAGGCGTGTTTGGAGACCCTGACTTGTCAAGGCCGATAGCAAATGTAAGCGGTGCCCCAGCCTAAAAGGCGAAGCCAGCCTGGGGCTTGGGGTGGCAGCCTGGCCTGGGGGAATGGCCTTCCCGGTGACAATCCTGCTGGGGCTCTGGAGGCCTGGGGCATGGGTCAGTTCATCTGCATCAGACCCCCCTTTTCCAGGGTGGACTAGACACAGCACCTCAGCAGGAGGTGGCTTCTGCTCACAGCCTGAGCCCCTGTCACAGACAAGGGGTTTGTGTCTCGTGCCGCTAGCACTTGAGCTGGCTGGAGCCATTTGTCCGCCCTGCTCCGCACGTGCCGAATGGCCTGGACTTGCTCCCTGCCGGGCCGGGTGACCTTGGAGGTGTTCTGGGAAGCGCCCGAGCACTTCCCTCCCATCCTGCGCGGCATACGGTGAGCTATATCATTATGAGCAGCTCAGTTAAGTCATTACAGCCTCGGTGAAAGCAGGAGCCTTTTCTCTCTCATCCCAATTCATCACTATTGTGCTGACGTGAATCACTTTCATTATAAAATGCTTCAGACCCTGTTAATTAACAGAATTGCTTAAATTTCAATGAGACAGTGCTTGCCCAGAAATAGCAGTTCTGTATTCATCGTGGAGTGGCGGGAGAGGCCTGTAAGCACGTGTGGGGTGGTGAAACGCTGGAAGGGGTGCCCAGAGAGGGGGTGGAGGCCCCATCCCTGGGAACATCCAAGGCCAGGGTCATTGCTGCCCTGTCCGAATTCTGCCATGCTCTGTGCTGGCTCCGACCTGCGTGCTGGCCGGGAGCGTCGACCACAGTGATCAAGCGGTAGAAGGACTGAGGGTTACCTGAGTGCGTAAAGAGGCAGAAGCTGGAAGGGCTCGAGAGAAGGCGGGTGAGACAGAGCCTCTGGATCCATGGCACTGGCGGCAGTGGGAGTCCAGGAAATTACAGAGCCGGAACGACAGAGGGACAAGGGAAGCTGGGTGACGTTGTGCCTACCTATGAGAGCGGGGGAGCTGCGAGGATCTGAGATGGTGCTTATGTCTTTATAATAAATCCTAACAGTGATAATCATTGGAATAATTGCTAGTTTCAGAAAGCAAGGAGAGGTCACCATCTCCAGAACAGCACTGCTGCTCCTGTAACGTCATGCGAAGGCGGGGCGGGAGGGATTTTGTCCTCCCAGCTTGGTGGCATTTCTGACTGCCCTTGGGCCACGGTACTGGATGCTCCTTGGTGTGACCCGTCCACCCATGGCCATTGCCGTGGTGCATGAGGTTGCCCCAAACGTGAGTGGGGAAACTGTGGCAACCTGCTGGCTGTGGAGGGCCGATGCCTGGAAGCCCTGGGGTACGTCCCTGAAGCCACATCGCACCGCCTTGCAGCCTGCTGGCGCCCAGTCCTCCCCGCCGCTGTGCCCAGGCTGTGCTGAAGGCTCCCCGGAGGCGTCTGCCTTCAGTCAGGGGCTTGGGTGGCTGCGATGCTCTGCCATCGCCCGCTTCGTTGCACGTCAGCAAATGTCTTACGAGTTGCTGAGAGCAACTGGATGCTTCTCTGCTCTTTGCATGGCAAGGGAGGAGCTCCTTGCTCCCCTCCAGGTCAGAGCCCCTCGCTGGAGACCCACAGCACACAGCCAGCCGCCCCCCTTCAGCATCTTCCCTAGCACCGGGCAGGATCCCTGGTGAAGCAAAGCAAAGGTGGGTTTTGCAGTGTGCAGGAGGAGGAGGCAAAGCTGATCATTAAACAGAAAGGCCTGGAAGGGAGAGTAATTACAAGACCAGAAAACGACGTCTCAATCTGTGGTAACATTGCAGAGAGCTGGAGGGGATTTTAAGCTTATTCCTAGCTGTTCTGGGGTTGGAGTCTGCGCTAATGACCTTGCATCCGTGTATAAGCCCATGCCCCTGGTGCCATCTCAGGGCAGCCTCATTTCTTTCTTTCGTTCTCAAAATATTTCTTTTCTGCTTTGTTTCCATGTGAATGAAGCGCTCCTGGGTGACACGGGAAGCCATAACATCTGCCATTCACGGTGTTTTCTGGGGTTTACTACGCTTTGTTTCTTGTTTTACGTTCCTCTATATTTTAATCCTGGTCATTCCCCTCAAGCTCAGATGACTTCTGAAGGCCTATAAAGAGGTTTGGTTTTTTTTTAAGAGGCTTCCTTTCATAGGAAGCACTAACGTACCACACGTTTCGTTAAGCTTTGCGGTCTCTAGTGCATTGTTAGCCCCTGACACAGGGCAAGTGGTGTCACCTCTGTCTCCTTGACTTAGAAGGATGCTTGCAAGTGAGACAGGCTTCTGGAAATACTCTGCAAATCAAATGGGGGGCCCTCCAGGCGTGGTTGGGCCACGGGGCAGCTGTGGAATGGGGCTTGGGCTGGGAACACCGACGTTCTGTCAGGAATGCTGCGACAAGCCCGGCTCCCACGTGAGCAGATCAGGATAAGTGGGCTGCGCCAGATTTGTGCCGAGGGGCTTTCGTGACTCAGCCTGGGCTTTTACGTTGCCGTTCTGTGCAAGCCTTGGGGCTGGCCCCAGCGCAGCCCCCGCACCTCTTGCTCCTGCGCCTCTGGGCCCCGTGAATCCTTCGCCGGGCTCCTGGCCTTCCTGGGGAGAAGCACAAACCTCCTCTGAGCCGGGGTGCAGCCTGTTGGAGCTACTGGCAGCCCGCAGGAGAAGGAGCAGTCGGGAACCTTCCGTGCAACATGCCTGCAAACCGACTGCAGAGACTTGCTGGGAGCGGGTCTGTGGCCGTTTCTGGGCTCTGAGGGGATTTTCAGGATGTTTCTACCTGGCTGACCCCCACCCCGGGCTTGTTCTCCTCTCCAGAGACCTTTTCTCCCCTCCATCAGCTTTTACGTACGTGACCCCCGTGAAAGCTGCGAGAGGGTTTGCCCCCTGTTGCGCTGGGGCCCGTCAGGCAGTGTTTGCTGTTGGCAGCAGAAGGTGGCAACAGCGCCCAGGGCGGCGCCAGGAAGAGCGCTGGGGGAGGTGACCTGTGCCTCCGCTCAGCGCTGGCCGCATGAGGCGAGTGCCGTGTCCAGTCCTGGGCTGCTAAATGTGAGACCCGTGGAATTGCCAGAGCGAGTGCAGGGAAGGGCTGTGAAGACTGGTGAAGTATTGGAGCATCTGCCATTCACGGAGAGGCTGGGAGCTCCAGCTGATCCCGCTTGGAGCTGGGGCTTGGACGAGGTCATCTCCAGCGGCCCCTTCCAGCCTCACCCCGTCCCTGACGCTGCGGATGCTCTGTGACCTGCCTGTGCTGACGCTGTCCTGCCGGTTCCCAGGTGTGATCCGGACAGCGGTGGCTGACCTGGACCGCGAGACGCAGGACCGGTATGAGGTGGTGATCCGCGCAACGGACATGGCAGGACAGCTGGGTGGCCTGTCTGGATCCACCACAGTCACCATCGTCGTCACTGATGTCAACGACAACCCACCACGCTTCCCTCAGAGTGAGTCCTGACAGCAGCGGGGGTGGGCACTGGCCCTGGCCCCTTGCGGGTGGTGGGATGGAAGCTCAGCTCCCAGCAGCGCCTGGCACGCGTCTGCGGGGTCAGCCAGCCCGGCTGCTCGTGCTGCGTGCAGGGCGGCAGCACCCGGTACCATAGCGCGCACAGTTCATTCCTGGGTGTCCCTGCCTGGCACCGGGATGGAGCGGCAGCTGCCTTGGCTCAGCCTGTCCCGGGCCCCGGACGAGACCCCTGCTCCCGGTGCTCGTCCTGGCGCTGAGCAGGGCCAGGTGGCGGGGAAGGCAGAGCCGTCCGTTTGCTGACCCCTCTCTGAGCAGCGTGGGGGGAGATGGCAGCCTGGTCCATTGTGCTGCTGTCTCCTTGGGCAGGGATCGGCTGCTGGCCCGGCCCCTCCTGGCTGCTGTGTCAGAGCTTGGCATGCTCTGCCCCAACATGCGGCACGGTGACACCTGCCCAGCTCACAGACAGCAGCCTTGTCACACGACAGCTCTCCTTTCCAAGTCACCGCTGGTGGCCTGTGGCTCATGCTTATATCTTCCCTGGGACCCCCCCCGAAGGAGGAGGCTGGGTGACCCTGCTGCCAGGGGTGGGCTGTGCAATCTCGGCAGAGCCCGGCAGCGTGCGGCTGGCAGACCAGAAAGGGTGCTGCAGCTGGAGGGGGCTCAGCTCCTCACCTCCATCCCCTAGGAATTAGAATGGTAAAGCTTGCAAAGGATCTGAGAACGCTGATTGCAGGGCAGCGTCCATACAGAGAAATCGGCCCTTGCTTCATTCACCTGGCACCCTGAGACGTGAGCGCTCCGGTTACCTTCCCTCATCCCTTGGTTTTGGCTGGGGTGGGTGTCCCTCCTGGACTGCAGGCGCTTGGTAGAGCTTGGGCAGCCCTCGTGGTCCAAGGGTGCCCCCAGGGAGGTACGCGAAGGGCTGTGTCAGGCTGGAGGGGGTTCAAGGGCAGAAGCAGTGACCTTGGTACCTTTTTCTCCTCCAGAGATGTATCAGTTCAGCATCGTTGAAACTGCCCCCGTGGGCACTGCCATCGGGAGGGTGAAGGCAGAGGACTCCGACGTCGGGGAGAACACAGACATGACGTATCAGGTGAAGGATGAGGAAGGGGTGGAGATGTTCAAGGTCACCACAGACAGCAATACCCAAGAGGCTGTCATCATGGTACAGAAGGTGAGAGGTGGGGAAAGCTGGCTGGGCAGGGAGGGCACAGACCTCTGGGAGGACCCTTTCCTTTGGGGACTCCTGCTGCTGCATTTGAGTCGAAATAACTGCTCCTCGGAGCGCTGCTCTAGCAGTAGCAGTTGCATTTTTGTGCCTGGGTGTGCAGGGAGAGACCTGCTTCTGTTCAGCCTGGATGGCAGAATGCAGCCCTGTGCCCGGGAGAAAAGGCTGAGGAGGAGCAGCAGCACGGTGCCTGCTGGAGCACAGGGCGGCCCCCTGGGCGGCAGCGACGCAGCCAGCCACGCACGGGTGAAGCCGTGTGGAGGGCTGCCGAGACGAGCGCTTACAGCTCTTATTCATAGCGCCTGTTAAGGGAGAGATATGCCCACCTCATTCCTACACCTGACGAGCAGCACTCTGACCATATCTGCTTTTGGCGGCAGAAACAACCAAGCCAGCACTTGATGTGGGTGAGGAAGAATGGTTGTTCACTAAGGCCGCTGCATTTGGATCGCCTGCCCTGTAGAAATAATAGCAGGGTGATTAACGATCAAAACCTGCTCGCATGCAGCACGCAGCGTGCTGTCTGCCCCATGAATCCCGGCTGCTGCACCCTGCGCAGCCTGGGCACCCTGGTGAGGGCCCTGGGGCGAGTGGCTGGAGGCTCCCTCTTCCTTCTGCCCCCTCGGCGTGGGCGCTGCCGGCAGGAGGGCAGAGCACGAGCAGGGGGCTTTAGTGCTGCCCCAATGTCTCCTGTGAAGCAGGGGCAGCACGGGATCCTTGGGCTGGGTATGGCTAACCCTCTCCTGTTGTCCCAGCCTCTCGACTACGAGTCAAAAAAAGTGCACACTGTTGTGGTGGAGGCACTCAACAAGTTTGTGGACCCGCGGTTTGTGGACCTGGGGACCTTCCGGGACCAGACCATTGTGCGAGTCTCGGTGCTGGACGTCGACGAGCCCCCCGAGTTCCGGCCCCCCTCCAACCTGATGGAGGTGCTGGAGGACGCGCACGTTGGCTCTATCGTGGGGGTGGTCCACGCCCTGGACCCGGATACAGCGCA